TGCCACGCTTCTCCCCACCACAAAGGTGAGAACATCACCGTGCTGAACATGGATCCGGTGGTAGGGCTGCAGTAGGATGCCGTTGTGCTCAATCCTCATTTCACTGCTATGCGCTTGAGCTGTGACAGGTGCCCTTGCCAAAACATCTTTGATAAGAAGCTCGGGTTGAGTAAACTCAGCCTTCACATAGCTAGCACAATGATCTTCCAATTGCAGGATGATTTCAATGTACCAACAATGAAGCGGAGACTGCATGAGCAACTTCTCTTGTGGCCCAAGAACCACTACACAGCCTGGTGGTTGTGCAGCCAAAGCGGTATCAGGCCAAAACGCCTGAAAATCCCATGTTCCATCCCTCAGCTCTGGCCAAACCTGTCGAATCACTTCACTGAAGCTCAAGCCCTCCTGCCAAGGGACCCAGGAAGGTTCACTGGATACCTCGTGGTCGAACAGGTTGAACACAGTAAGCGTTCTTGGTACATCAGGCGCTCGAAAGAGACGAAGGAAGCCCGCATCCACCGCCGCGGCCCAAACACGGGTGACTTCCCAGTCCGCCAGAACTGCCACTTCCTCTGGGAGCTCAGGAATGTCCAAAGGAGCTTGCGAAAGGGACACAATGTCCTCATCAACATTACCACAATCCTCCTCCAACAGCGTCCCCCATGTTGTCACTTCTTCACGAGACCACTGTAAGAAGGCTGTGACATCATTCTGTTCTTGATCACCTTCATGATATCGAGGGAGTTCAACTCGATCACGAATAAGTGGTTCATCACAAGTTCCTTCATCTTCTTTGATCTCAATGTCGATCCGTTGCCATCCATGAAGTTCTAGCCACTCATCACCCAGCGGCAGTGTGGCTTTGAGAAGCACAGTACAAGTCAACTGCCCTTGGCAGTCCGCACCAAGACCCACCAATGATAGCAGACTCCACTTGTTCTGTCTTCGGTGGATGACAGAAGGTCTGAAATCAGTATACGAACGTCCCCCACTGAGCCGTTCGATAGCTATCAAAACAGCAATCTCATGGGCTTCCAGTCTACGAGGGACCGCAAGAAGGTGTAATTCATCATAATCAAAAGTCTGCCAGGGTGTAGGTTGCGGGTCCACGTATCCAAAAACCATCGGGTCAATGGGCATCAGCAGGGCATGGGTTGCCCTTCGAACCGCCACGATGATCTCCTCTCTACTAATGCCCCCATTCCCCATTGGTTCAGTGAAGTAGCCATTGAGTCCCACCACATGAATGATGAGTTCCGGCCATCGTCCACGCGCCCACACATAGGCACCCATCTCCTCCTCGATGGCATCGTAGCCAATCAACTGAGTGTTGGCAATCCATGCCGCACCCGTCGGCCCTGGGTCAAGAGGCCAGGGTGCCGCTTGAAAACGACCAACTCGGGTCCTGGCGGGTGGCGTGTACTGGAAAAAGGCAATATCCTCTTCCTCCAAGCTCTGTGGAAACTGTAGTTGCAAGCTTCCTTCACCCGACCGTTCCTGGGATGACCATGTGATTTGGGAACTTCCAGGCACAGATCCACTCGAATAGCCTGTAGGCGTGGCCCCTCCTCCAATTCCAAAAGGCAGAGCACGAATCGCCAGTAGATCACCAGGGCTGAATGTCACCACACGAAAATAGTCGATCTGCAGACCATTCCATTCAACCTCCAACTCATGATGAATGTCAGCGTGCAGACCAACCCATCGTATGATATTGTGAACCTGTAGACTTTGTGTTGCTACATAGGTCAAGAGAAAGGTCTCGTCAGGAGCTTCATAGCGCACAGCTATTGGTACATCCAAACCCCTACAATTGTCCACCATCAAAAGCGACGGGGTGTTCTGGGCAATCTCATACGCCAGTGGGAATACACGGAAATGATCAACCTCACTCGGCTGTGCTTGAAGCTGACACCAAATCCTCAGGTCCCGGAACGGATGTGTTGCCAAAAACAATCTCGCTGGGCATTGAACCTCAAAGGCTCTTGTGGAACGCCCACAAAAGGCCATACAATGCACCAGCAAGTGTTGAGGAGCTGAATTCCATGGCAGGCCTCGCCAATAGTCCAAGAGAAAGCCTCTAACCACACAAACATTGTCATCCAAGTTAGTATAGTGCAGAGGTCTGTCTACCGGTGGCGGTCCACTACTGGCAAGAGATGCAGTCACCTCCGGCGATCTGGTAGGCAACGTAGTGGGAGGGGAAGGGTCCATGTTCAACTGCATAAAGATCCCCTCATCACCATGACCCTCCTTCTGCTCGTCATGCCTATCCTCAGAGTCAGATGCCTCCGGAGAGCCAGGCCAGGCCCCTGGGTGTGAGCCACCGCGCCCAGGTGTTAGGCGCGCTGGTCCCGGCTCGGCATCCCATGACCTCTCAGAGGCTAAACTAGAAAAACTAGTAGAGCTCCCAGTGGAGAGCCAGGTGCTGCAATCTGATTGTTCATTCTCATCCCCCCGCTCTGGTATTTCCACCATCCTCAAACGGCTGCCAGATGGTGCCTGAAAAGGATGTGGCCATGTCCATCTTTCCTGTGCCAGCTCAACAAAACAAATTGCCGAGCTCGCACACTGGTTAGCAGGTGAAAGAAGCTCAAAAAGGCGCTCAGTAGTAAAAGGGTCCCAACCCTCTCGAAACAACACAGTACCTCGAGCATCAAGCACCTCATCAACATAGAAATCTACAAGGAAGAGATGTCCCGGAAAGGATCCCTCCGTCGTGACCATGTAGATATCCCCTGTAATCCCCCCAGCTTCATGCACAGGGATCAACTGAATGGGATACCCTTCACTGGCATCCTCAAAGGCACGTCTCAGCTGGCAAACCAAGCATGCCTTTCGTCTCATGGATCCCCTTTTCTGCATGAATTGGTTGGCATCAAGGTGATGATGGAAAAACGTTTGGATGCACCGCCCAGCAAAAGTAGGACTCTGCAAATTCGGCACCAAGGAGTCAGAGGAAGCATGCGAATGTGTGCAGCCCACAACAGCCCAAGGCTGTTGGACCAAAGTCACAGAATCATTCTCACCCATCAGCTCCTCGAAACGGCCATCAGCCTCTTCACCAAGGTGCCCACCAGAGAGATTCCCCACTGATAGGTCTGCTCCAACAAATCCATCACCTCCTGCCTCATGCGGATGTGCTCCAGCTCCCAAGCAAAGGAAAAGAATCCGCCAAGGGGCCAGTATCCATCCCAACCTTCTCCTTCTACCGGTTGTCCGAGCAGCAATTCGTGGCGTCATCATGGATTTCATCGCTGAGAAGAGAATGGACCACTCCCATCCCCATGCAGCCCAAAAAGGCGCACTTAGGGGGACAAAACAAGCTCTAAACCCCTCAAAGAGCCTATTTGTCAGGGCTGTGACCACCCCAAACAGCAAAAACACCATAAACAAAGCTCCAAGTCGCCTACTGTCCAAGCAACGACTCAAATGCTCATTCTTGCCACTGTTCTCAACAACCTCAAAGATCTGCCAAGACCTGGCGCTGCGAGGCATCCAAAGGATCACAGCTGCTCTTCCATGTCGGCTGGCAAAGGCGCCTCCGTCGCAGAGAGTTTGGGCACCTTGGCTCCACGTGGATTCCCAAACGGAAGCAGTGCATCTCTCTTCTTGATCTCCTCCATACCAGCCTTGAGCAGGCTTTCGGCCTCCTCGACTTCCATAGACACCACCTCCATGGATTTCGGTTTGACCACCTCCGGCTGAGCCTCGGCTGCCTTGCGAATCTCCTCTTGTAGCTTGGCCAGCATCACAGTCTTGCCCTCCAGCGTTTGGATCTTCTCTTCCCGCTGATGGACATATGCCTGCTTCTGGCGTTCCATCTTGCTGCGCATCAACTGCACAAATTCTTGCCACTTCTGGTCCATCTCCTCGATCTCCTTCTGTGTGCTGGCAATCTGGCGCTCCAGCTTGTCGATCTTGGTGATCTGCTGGTGCTTGATCTTGTCCTTGCCTGCCATCGGACTGAGGAACTTTTGGACCTCTGACTTGAGTGCCTCTGGAGCGGCATCTCCCATGATCGTCAACAGCTCTTCCAAGCGGCCACGGAACTGATCGGTCGGAGGTGCGCTGGTAGTCTCTGTCCCAGAACCACCAGCAGCTGCAGAAGCTGCAGCTGTTGCAACATCCTTGTCGACCTCTTCCACAGTGGTCGCCTCGAGCTTGACTCTGGTCGTGGGGGTGCCATCTTTCCATGGCGTACTCTTGGGTGGTGTACTTGCGAATGGGCTCAAAGTCGACGAACCACTTCCCACTTTCGCCACCTTGGTCTTCTCTTTGCCCTCCTCGTTGTTGGCCTGCTTCTTCTTCTTGTTGGATTTCGATCTGGTGCGATGCGGGACGGTCACCCACTGGACGCATGAGTAGTGCGTCCCACATCCCTGGCACCACGAAGCCCGACTCGACTGGACCTTGCCACACTCGCACTTCCACTGCGCATCTGTCAACTGCGCCGGCATCTGACTGCCGTGATGTGGTAGCAGCAACCCAGCTGCTCGAGTATCGGAAGTTGTCCAGTGCACAAGCCTCCTCCGGAGGCGCTTGCGGGCTTTGGCGCGCCGGCGGCGCAGGTTGCGATGCCAGCTCGGCTCGCGAGCAGAGAAAGCCACCAGGACCCAACAAAAAAGGAAGCAGCACACCGAAAGGCGCTATGGCGCGTCTAACCATAAAAGGGTGCGACGCTAAGGCTAGACCTAGAGGGGAAGGGAAATCCCCCCACAAAGCCGAAACCTTATAATTATGTGTTCCAAAAAAAAGTATTCCCCACTTCCATGTTGTTCTTTTCTCCATTGGACGCTGTGCCCAGGGTCCAAACAGCAAGTCGTTTTCTTGTAATTTGTTTTGAGGCTTAGAAGAGCTTTGGGTCTTTAGCAGTGTGGCTGAAGCAAGGCTCCTGAATTATCATTTACTGCCATTTACATAGTAGATAGGTAAAATGCATGAAAGTGCCTTAGGTGTTTGCATTTCTCGGACCCTCACACCATCCCAACAAACCTGAGGTTTCTGGCCTTCACCACGGGCACGGACCGCGCGCCCTTGGGCGGCTTGAAGGATGTGCGCTTGGTCGCTCCTGAACCGCAGCCAGGGAAGATGACGGGGGGGACGAAAAGGCCCAGCAGGGACAAGTGGGACTGGAAGGGATGAATATAGGGCTGCGGAATACTGTGTTTTTCAAACTTCCTTTCCTAGATGTTCTCCTTGACTCCCCAACAAAAGAAACAGATTGTATTTTACAATCCTGTCTTTTTTTGGGGGGTGGAGGGGCCTGATGAATCAAGAGTCCACATAAGCTCCTAAATATCCTCGATCCATCCCATTCCACCCCGATGGATGTCGCTTTTGGCAGTCCCAATGAGGGGGGTGGGTATCTGATGCGCAGAATTCCATGGGGCTTCGCAATGCAACATGCAAACATATAGCAGCTAGCATCCAGGAATCCCTTCGTGGTGCACACCAGGCTATTTCAGTCATTTTTCTGTTCCAGCTGTGGAATTCCAAAGTTGCACGTTTCTTCCCACGTCACCTCCGCTTTCTCGTGGGACCAGGCGGTCCTCACGTGGGGGATCCCCGGACGTTTCGCCGTCCGCGCTCCGCTGCAGGTGCAGAAGCACGGCACCGAGCCCACCAATCGCTTGCCCTCGGCGCAAACGTGCTTCAACCTTCTGTTTCTGGGTCGAATCGGACCGACCGGTGAGTTTTCCCGCTCGGCGCGGCAGTTGGGAGCAGATGGCAGTTGGGAGTGTGGCACTGGAGTGCCTCTGGATGGGCCAGATGGGATGAGTGGAGGGGAAGGAATGGCAGCAGTGGATCCATTGCGTCAAAACGTGGCACCTGTCATAAGCGAGAAGCCGAGAACCCAGGGAGAAGCTGATGCCGAACTGCACGGCTGCGGTGCACTCCCAAAAGTGGAACATGTTGTTCGGCATGGAAGTCTCACACACGAAACGGGGTCAAGGAATTGTTTTGTTATGTTGTTTGGATATGAAACGCATCAAGTGAGTGGTTTTCTCACCTGGGCCATTGTCGACTAGCCGGTGATTTTAGACTAGCCGACTAGCAGAATGTGGTTGGTTCTCGCTGACAGTTTCAACCGGTTCTGGATCTATAATTAGTTGGTTCTTTGGGACACTGCTGCAATTCATACAGGTTGTTGTGTTCAATAGTTCTTGCTTCAACGATCTGTATTGAGACCTTGTGATACTGTTGAACATGTTTGCGTGAACATTCCTTGGGTAGATGCCTGTTGACCATTCTACTGCTTGTGGTAGACGTCGGTGTTCTTCTTCACCAAGAAGAATGTCCGAAGATCCAAGCCCTGTAGGTTGCTGCCACAGTACGAGTCCGCGAAAAAGATGGAGTGGCCTGGTGGAGGGTTTTTATGTGAGATGGGAGTGGCTACAGCAATTGGTACGGATTCGGTGGTCAACATGTTGTTTCCACCAAAGGAGCTGCTAGAAAACGCGGTTTTGTTTTAGATTCCTTCAATTATAGTGCGGATGATTGCGGATGGACATATTTTGATCATCACAAGTTCATTAACTGGTGTGTTGCCAAGTGGTAGCATGAGTTTGGCTCTTTCGCAGGCTACAGGAAATTGGTTGTGTTTGAAGTACGGCCATGGTGAACACAAGGGGCAGCAACACCCACAATATGTTGAACATACACACTTCACTAGACCTCGATGTGTTTTCACATCGTTTGCTTATGCCTACAATGCATGATCATGCCAAAAGCTCACGTGCATTCCAGCCAGACGGGCAAGTGGGAATTACATGCAATAAGATTGTTGACTCCGTTTTACTCGCTGGCGAACAGGCTCCATTCCCAAGGAGCACTCGAAAGCCTCAAAAAAGGGGATCCCTCCATTAAACATCGAAGCCTCAGTGCTTTCATCGAAGCGCAGAGGAGTCACTCCAATGTTAATCCTCCGAATCCAAAAAGGGCAGTCTTCCCAGGCAATCCTTGCTCCTGGCCATTGAAAACTCCGAGGGCTTTGGACTTCAATAAGGTCGGGCAGCCGATCCGCCGATCCTCGATCTCTGTCCGACCGCAGCAAGGGCTGGAAGGCGTTGGTGCGCCAAGTAGTAGTCAGTCATACCGCAAGTCGCCCTATGAATCTTATAGAGGACTGGATAGGAACCTGATGAAACACCCAAAAAAGCCTCTCGCTTTCGTGAACCATTGTGAACCGGCTGAACATCTGCAAATAGAGTTTGGTAATAGTTTGCTATTGTGTTTTGGTCATTTTCCGTGTCCAGTGTTTTTTGCCAAAAGAATATCCAGTTCCATGGATTCCCATATGGAGAGTTTGGGGGACTTTTGCCTAATCATGGAGCCTGAGAAAACCCCGCAGCGCGGCGAGTCCTCGGGCCCCAAAAAAGCGATCCGCTTTCGTACCTTCGAAAGCTGATTGCAGACGCCTCACGTCGGGTCCAGTCGTACTGAACCGACTTCGGTGCGGTATATCTATCCGATTTATCCCAGCTCAGTCCATGTATGACCCCCTAACGCATCCCATATGTAGGTCGATATGCCAGACGCTTCATGGGACTGGCATAGGACTGCCGCGCCAGACACCACCCCCAACTCTCGGCAGTCCGTCCCAGTCCCAGACGGGTCGCGTTTGGGTATGCCCGACATGGAGTGTTTGGGCTTGGGAGCCCGACATGGATCCCCAAGGTCGGATCCCGAGACCGATCGCGTGCCGCTCGCTGACAGGCAGCTCCAGCTCCGCGAGACTGTACCGGGCTCCACCGGTGCACGTGCTGTCGTAGTGCTGTCATCGTTGCTGTGGGTGGACATGTCAGAGAAGTGGTGGCAGCACGTTGACATGTCGCTCGTTTTGCGTTTTCGCTCGTCTTGAACATCGGATCCTCCAAGTCGAGCCGGTATTGACTCCAAGAGTTTGTGGACATGTCAACCCGCAGATTGATTTGTAGGAAAGAACCCTGCATTCGTGCATCCGGTGAATGTTAGCAGTGTGTGTGTGTGTGCATATGTGTGTGCGCATGACATGCTTTTTATTTTTACAAGCTACTGAAATCAGAAGATGGATTGTCCAGGATGCAAACGCAAAGGTGGGACGGTCAATCTATGTGAATCTCACTACTACAATCTCATTGATGAAGATACTTAATCCCATCACTCTTTTCATCAGAAATCATCAGAATTTGTACACTTCCAAGGCATGCGAAATCAACATTTGGTGGTGTGATGCCGTCACTTGGGAGAAGCATAGCCTGATTAGGGGTGGTGGTCGGTGAATATCCTGGTCGTTGTGGCAGATTCCACACTCGTTGCACGGCTTTCGGCTTCTGCAGGCTGGACGCACGGCGTTCCCTCAACCAAAGCGACAGAGAAGTGGGGATCACCACCCCCCAACCGGAAAGAAGGCTGCTTTGCTTGGACACTTTCACCGGATTCGCTTTCCAATAGAAAGACAGCAAAAGACCCTCTTAAGATCTCTGCGTGAGAAATGAACCGCTGGGCTGCGAAGCTGTGAGTGCAGGCGGAGCGACGTGAGTGCATTGGTTGGTAGCGCGACAGACTGGGTGCCCATGTGGATTTTGTCCAGTATCAGAATGTGTTGCTTAAAGTGATTACTTGTATGTAGTATGCATATAATATTACTTATGGATCTAAGTAGGGAATAGGGAAGCCCAGCCACTAATTACAGAGGGGCAAGATGGCAAGACCCAACTTCATCACTCCCTTGACCAACTTGATCCTATTGAAACCTGCGGAGCTATGGCCGCCATATGGCCTGCACCACACCCCTGGAGTGGTGCACGCGGTGGGTCTGGTGCGTCGGAGCAAGCAAGTTGCAGATGTTCCAGCTGCACAATGTGGAGCAACCAATTGGAAGCAACCAACTCCTCTGTTTTTGATACAAGCTATACTTCAGGTATATATAGAACCCAGCCGCTCCATGTATACCATACTTGCCCACATTGAGGTGGTTCAGGGTGTCAATGTAGGCATAATATTCCATACAGGGTGTTTGGGTATTGTGAATGTGCATGCGATGTGTGTCTTCGTGCTAGCTGATGGAATCCAGTGTCCATGTTGCGCATGTTGTGCCGGCATTGACCAGCAATCCACAGGGTACCAGTGCCGAAGACGCTCCACCACAACCCACAGATCCTGCCGTCTCCGTCCGTTTGACTCCACGTGTCACGTCGAAAACCGCGCGCGCCTCTTGTGGTCGAAAGGTGGCGCCCAGTTATGAGAATGGCACCATTGGGACATGGGCTTCTTGGCCTCATGGGTGGACCCAAGTGGTGAAGCCTGGCCGCCAGATGGTCATCAAGAGGTCGAAAAGAGAAAGGAATATGAATATGGATTGTGTTGCCTAAGTGCTGTCGTAGTGTTATTTCGAGTGTCAATTTCATATGTCAGTGTGTCCTGAATCAGTTCATTGAATCAACTCACAATCAAATTCCTTGTGAGTTGTTGATGGTTGTTCAAAGAAATGTGATTCCCCCAGCTCGTACATTGGAACATGGGTGCAAGTACCTCTTCTATAGGGGGTCATGTCCCATTTTCTCTAGGGTTGTTGAAATCGGGTCCAGGTAGATGAATTGGTTCAATTTGGGGGTCATGCACATGGTGAGTCATGGTAGAGCAATGCCAGAGTTCGGACGCATTGGAACGTTTGGTTAGCCGTTATTTTTCTGGGAGACTGAGGGGGTCAGTAAAGTGGCCAAAAAGCTTCGTGCCATCCACTCCATCTACTCTCCATGCACTTGTTTCTTTCTCTGGTTGTTCCTGGTTTCTCACAAGAACTGGATGGTTGTCAAGCCCACTTCCCATCTTTGCCGCGACCACCCCTCTTTTGGACGCGAAGAAGTCTGAGGTCCAGATGAGCAACTGCGCCACTTTGGGGAATGAGGCAGGCGCCCAGGGGGGGGGCAGAGCCCTTAAGAATCCAGCCAAGCAGCTTCTTCAGTGTCCTTTTTGGAGTCTACTGACCCTTTGGATGTGACTGCAGGTGACCGAATCAAATGTGTCTGATTTCACCGAGGAAGAGAGACGTGTCTTGGAAAGAGAGACGTTGCATTCCCGACTGGTCTATCGGGTTGGTATGAGGATTGGAGGTAATGCAGGATATTCCAAAGACATAGGTTGTTCAGGATGGGTTTGAAAGGCTTTTTTGAAAGTTTCCTTTGAAGCTTGGGAGGCATTCCTACCAATCCCAATGCCTGACTGCTCATATTCTTGAGAATGGTCCAGCAAGAGTTGAATGACTCCTCATTGGGTTGGAAAGAAACGAGGCCTTGATAGAAGCTTTGTTCAACTGCTCATTGCGGTTGGGAGCAACAAGGCCTTCATAGCGCCTCGGTTCACATAGATACTTCAGTTTGGAGATCCTTGGAAGCCTTTAAGACCAACCCTCCTATAGGCTGCACGGCCGGACCGCACGAATGTCGCCATCCATGGATGGCAACATGTGAAAAAAGTGCCATGTCGTGCGCTTACTTGGCTGGAAGTTCAGGTCCAGTTGTCATTATATAAATAAATGGTAACCCCCCTAAAAAGAAAAATCCAAGACTACAACACCTAACGAAACACTGGTGACTAACACTCCCAGAAAGACAATGACAAGCAATCGGGTCTTTGAAAAACCGTCGCCCTCGGGTTGAGGACCTGTTGCACCCCCCTCAGTCACAATCAACCCCCTCTGGGCTTTCGGTAGCTGAACAGGCCGGAGGTGTCGAATCCTTCCAGGGAGTTCACTCTGGGCACACCGGTGTCATTTTGATGGAAGTCGATGTTGTTCTTCAACTTTTTTTGTTCAGATAAGTTATCGAAATCTGATTCATCTTGTGTGCAATCCAAGTTTTGCAAGATCGTAAACCGCACTCGCTGCATCCGGTCCAAGATGCGCGTCGTATGATGCCGGTCCGAGATGCCGCAGAGCGTTCCGTTCACCGACAGAGACTGCAGAGGCCACCAGCTGCGACGTGGGGCCTGAGCAAGGGCTCGTCAGCCTGTCAGGGCCTCATCGCGCATCGCGTAGGTTCGATCCCTACCGCGTCGCGTTGAGGATGCCACGCGTCGCGTACGGATTTTGCACTGACTGAAGAGAAGGATGGAGAACTGATGTGCGTGATGTGTGGAGGTTTTGCAGATTTTTAGCAGTTCTGAAGGCGTTGCTGCTGAGAATACAACGCCCAAGACATGGGGTTCATCCTTACCCCTTCCATGTCCAACCAAGTACCACCAAACTCCCAACATTGATATCACCAGCTTACCCGACATGCTGGCTTCCACCAGTCTCCAGGCAGACGTATGTGGCGCGAATGAAAGAGCATGGGGAGCCCAAGACATGCGGAATCGGTCCTGAAGGGTGTGTCCCAGAAAACCACTCAGTAAGTGGTGCTAAAAAATGTACTATCTTTGCCCATGCAAGTCCACTGCCACTTCCAGAAGGTCATTGGCCCCTCCCACGGGTCCCCCAGAAGAACAAAGAACACACTGCGGCACTGCGCAAGAAAAGTGGATAGCGTTTCAAAACCTTCTTGCAGAAATTGGGGACGCTCCTCTCAACGGGAAAGTTTGGTTTCGATCGCCAGCTCTGGGAGTCGAACGTCGCTCTGTCGTGTTTCACAACAAGGATGAGATCATTTGTCTTTCCAAGTGTCAGCAGTGATTCAGTTGCGGTGATTCCAGTTTCTGACCGAACTGTTTGGAGCTGTTCCATTGAGATTCCTCTGGTTTGGACGCTTGATGCTCCATCACCCAAGAGATTCAAGAAGACTCAAGACTCAAGAAGGCTGGACATGGGGACGGACATGCCAGAGCCCCCTTAAGGGGTGTCTTTTAAAGGCCCCTTTGAGATTAAGGGGTGATGTGGTGATGTTTGGATATTATACAACCGCTTTGCCCCCCTTGTTTTGGACCTCATCCTCACTTTCAACTTGTGTTTGTGTCAAGGTGCTTTGACAATCTTTGTAGCCAAGGCTTTGCACGGACGCCACCTTGAACTCTGAGTACTCCTACACTGCTGGCCGGAAAATGGTTGCCGCAACACTCGGGAAGAGATGATGAAGTGTACTAGTACTTCGTCCATTGATGAATCTGGCCCGCCTGGCTGGCCCACTGAAAATCTGAAAACTAATACGAACACATTTGCAAAGTCCTCATGAAGAATATATACAACTTTGTCATACTTTGTCCGGGAGTGTCGTAGTTTTGAGGTGATTGTTCTGCTCAGCAGTGGACCCGTTGAGAAGATGTTGATATCGCCTCTGCCTCTCCGTAACCATGCTTTACTTAAATCCGAGGATTCACGGTGAATGGTTAGGTGAGACATTCACCAGTGGTCTGCTGCAACACCATGGCTTTTGATGGCTTTTCTGCACATGGGCAAACAGACCTTAGCCTTAGGCATCACGGATCCAAACACATCTGAAGCACTGCTTCAGACAGGTCGAGAAGTTTAGTCGAGAAGTTTCGGGACCAAATCCAGCCAGCCACAAATCCTATATATATAGCGCCAAAACGTATTTTATGGTATCATCCGGAATAGCCTTGCCTTCATCCTCCGTCGCAGCCAAGTACGCACGCGTCGTCGCCTCCATCCACAGACCGACGACGGCGACGACGTGACGCGACGGAAGCAGGCACTGCAACCACTTGGCCCGTGCGCGCCGAGACTCCGCAGGGGAAGCCCAGCGCGCTCCGCGCGTGGTCCGCGCCAGCCAGACCATGTGTGAACGCGTTGGACCATGATATTCGTCCGTGTCGGTAGATGCGTAGAGATATGTAGAGATGTTTGCCAACATATTTGCTTACTTCCTGAAACTCTGAAGAAGTGGAAGTGAGTGTGGAAGTGCTATACTATAATACTCCAGAATGTTCTACTCTGTTAAGCTGTTCGGGACTGACAATTCATGGGAGGATGGAACCTCAATGAACCTCAGCTGTTTTTGTTTCGTTTGTGGTTTCTAACCACTCCAAGTGGTTGGCAACATGTTTTCAGCTCACCAAAACCGACACTGCACCGGCCCAACGACATGGGGACAACCCTTTCATTACCAGAAATTTTTGAACAGAACTGCATCAGATAAGAGACCGGCCTGTGACCAAGAGTCTGGCACACAGGTAACTGTTATCAATCAACTGTTGCTAGACTAAATCCTGAATCCCCCGGAGACAAAATCAACAGTCAGTATAGTACACCATTGGACCAGAGTCTGGTGTATTCTAGCAAATTATATGTTCATGTAAATATAATATATGATATAACACCATCCTGGATAAGATAGAAGTGAATCAAACCGAACACATGACCCCTGACTACATAACATATTTTATAATGCACACACCATATATCATATATATATATATATATCCAAGTTATGCGGCGTGTATATAGATCCTCCATGCTGACGGATCCTCCTCCTGATTGTCCCCTTGTGCAAACTAATCCGTGCTTATTTTTTGCCATGAGTTGACTTGAGAGATCCCAAACATTGTTGTGGGTCAGGTTTTTTATGTATTCTTTAAGGAGAATGTGCTTCCTTTCAAGCTTTGGTTTGAGACTCCAGTTGTGCAATGCATGATGCAACACATGACATCCATAAGTTTGGATGGGAGTACGAGTGCATATTCAACGTGTATCCACTATGTATATAAGTGCATACTCATGTACTTGGATAGGGAGCAATGAGTTTGAGCCTAGCTTCCTTCTTCGAGAGGGCAGGAGGATTGAACTGCAAGATCAGGAGTTGTTGGGAGCGGGAAGTCCATGATGAGACGACCTGGTCATGTGTACGCCAGGAGCAACATCAGCTTCAGCAACATCAGGCGTACGTGGCATGTGAGATTTGATGCAGGGAGCTTCCGGCGGAGGTCGTTCGTTGGTCTCGAAATTGCACTGGCAATGCGTACAGGATCAGTGCAGGCCAACGCGTGCCACGGGCGTGCTCTTTAGGGGATGCGTCCAGATTTTTGTGAACTTTCATCCGAAAGCGGGATGGGGATGGGGTGCCCGGCTGTTGGGCTGATGGATCTCCATCTTTCTGAGGGATTTTCATGAAACTCCGCCTCGCCTATCGGTTTGGCATGGCCTCATGGCTAACTCGCTTCAGATGACCATCTCGGTTGTTTAGCCATATAGGATCAAAGTTAAAAGCCTGAAAGCGCTGCGACGTCTAGAGTTTCGCCATGAGTCGCCCAGCGGCTTGCAAGCGTTTCCTCGCTCCAGCGGCAGCGCTGTTGGTTTATGTGTTCTCATTGTCTTGTGATGTGTATGACGTTCCGATGGTGAAGTTTCAGATGGTGAAGTGCATGGGGCGAAAGGTCCTTGCAAATCGCTGCAGATTGGGCAGAAAGGCCGCTGGTTGCCCAATTCCAATGAATGAGAAGCTGTATACAGATGTGCTTGACCTTGCTGGAGTCTTCGATAGAAACGAAAGGTTTGGAGAGTTTGCTGATGATTTGCTCCCAAGTGTGCCCCATCCAGTTGATGATATTGTGGCAGTGGTGAAACGACACGCTGAGAAGTTGTTCCCCGGCTGCACGTTGTCACTAGCTGGTTCGTGTGACCGGCAGGTTCACAACAAGTACTTCTCAGATATTGATATCCAAGTACACAATTTAACTCTTGGAGCACCATCAGAGGGAGAGTTTCACGACTTTTGCAGCCTTCTCGAGCACGACACGGATGTTCGCAAAGTGAAATTTGAAAAGGGATGCAAGGCAATTCGCTTGGAGGTTTGGGGCATTCCGGTGGATGTAGCATTCACTGAACAGTTTGATAAGGACCTGGCCATGCATGGGCCGGCGCAAACTTCTCGATTGAAGGAGCTCTATGAAGAATATCCTGGAGCTGTAAAGGCAGCGCGAGTTGCCAAATGGATCTTCCAAGACTTGAGGGGAATGGACGTGGAATACATTGTGAACGACATTGCACGAGACAGCAGCAAGCTGTGGGAGAACCGCAAACGTGATAGTCATGGCTGTTTGCTTTTTCGAGGAGTGGTCATTGAGCTAGCCCAGTTTCCAGGAGTCTCACACTATTCTTCTTTGCGTGAGTTGGAGAAGAAGGCCCGCACTGCAAGAGGCAGGGAAACACTGCTTGACCTCGAGTGGTCCTTGAAGAGAAGCCAAGTTCTTGCGAAAGTTCTTTTGCAGGAGCTACATTGCACTGGAGTGCGCAGCAAGCAGGCGGAGGACCTACAGACCTTGTGTCAAAACGTTTCCATGATTGAATATGAATGTCTCACACGAGAGAGAAACCAGACAAGTGCCAACAAGCTGGCCTTGCGAGTAGAAAAGGAAATGTCAATCTCTCAAGAAGGCGTAGATTTGGGGTTCTCGGTCAAATTAGAGTCCGACAATGCAAAAGGTAAGGCAACAGGTGTTATTCAACCCAGAAAGCAGCGAAAGAAGCGACAAGGGGAAAGAGACTCACATACCGCCTGGTCGAATACATGGGAAGGGAAGTTGATCCTTATTTTTGATGACATGCTCTTCTGTGTGGAGAATTCGAATGAGATCAAACAAGCAAAACCCTTGGAGCGTAAATTCATACAGGCATGGTGCACTGGTGTGGATGCTTTCTTGGAGATGGCAACAAAGAAACAGAAACACGAGCGATGGAAGAGCAGGACAATGCCAGAAGGCATGCACCAAGTGGCAGCAAGAATGAAAGCGCTCGGCATTGCGTCATGTGATATGATGTACAGCCTAGTCGAGGCTTCAGATTGGCCAGCAGCGTGGAAAGCGCCTTTGTTAGCTTTCCTTTGGTTTTGGAGGAGCAAAGCCAGTTCGTGATTTTGATGAGATGACAGCCAGCGGCTGTACAGGGGGTAGACGAGCCGTTGGAGCAATGCCAAAACTATGAAGCTGGAGAAAAATCTCAAAGTGGCCGAATGCTCCATATATATATATACATATGGATGTTTGAACTTGCTAGGACTGCCAAGACCAGATCATGACAGTCATGATGAAGGACACTCCCCAAGCTTTTCGTTTCAGGATATCATCTGCATTTCTATTGATTCAACCATTTCTTTAAAACGATATTCTCTATATAGATGATTTTCTCCCATTCCGCATCCATGTCCAACCCTCAATCCATGTCCACTATAGGAAAGCACGTGTCAGACTGGTTTGTCTCAGACCTTTTGTTTTGGGACCACACCGTCTCAGCGACGACAAGACCTCACCGGCGCCAGGGATCACGCCTTTACCGTGAGCTGGGTGCCTGGCATGGCTTACGAGCGTCACAAGCAGGCGAGGTGGACTGGGTCATCCCGCGAAGAGGGACCGACGGAGGGACGATTCAGCGATGGGACACCCAGGGGACACCGAGACAGCAGACGAAGCTGGTTTGAAAAAACAGAAGCAGATTGTGTACCGTATATATTTTAATAACAATTCATGTGTACTGTGTTGTACAATGTATGAAAACAATAGATACAGTCGTATTTTTTTCGCGATGTTTTCTTCTATATGCTGCTTGCAAATGCTTGCAATGTTTACAGCCGGTTCTTCAACTGCTCAAGTTCTTTGCCGCACTTTTTGGGAAACATTTTCCCATCGAAGTTGCCGATCGATCAAGCCCGCCGAGCCGAGCATCTCGGGGACCGCCGCAGGAGTGCGACTTCGCCCATTGGGAAGTGATGCTCCGGATGTCCAGTCGTCGCCTGGCCGCGGCGTTTGGGAGTCGACGTGCGTGCGTTCGTAGCGCGGAAAAAATGGGTACAGAATGGTACAGATCTAGTCTATACCGTATACCTCTTTTTTTATTGGGTCATAGAGTCATAGTCCCATTTTTCTATAGAGTACTTTGGAGGATGCTTGTATGTTGTTTGGACACACGAACCATTTTGGACAGCGGACAGTGGCTTCGGAGCAAAACCCATGCAACCATGAAGACTTGGCTGGATCCTTTCGGGTAGAAATGACACGCGTCACAACCATTGTCATCATCATCATCATCATCATCATCACCATCATCATCATCATCATCACTACCATCACCATCACCATCACCACCATCATCATCATCATCATCATCATAAACAACAACATGTTATTCTTCATCATTCATCATTCATTTTCTCATTCCTCACTATACCCTCCTCCTCCCTGGGCGCTCTTGAATCGAGCGCGCCGCGGCCCGCGTCCTCAGGTTATGTCCAGCTGGGCCGAGCCTTTGGAGCAATCCGTCCGGTCGGCCCGGCCCGCGGCAACGATCTCCATGCGACTGGAATACAAGCCTAAGACCCCTCGAGCTCCAATGTAGGAAGTTCGGCCATACATGGAGCGTCATGACCACAGACGCCGACGTTGACACTACTCTTAGCTGGGTTTGACCTCTTTGGGTGATGTTTAGAACAGTTTTTGTTGAATTGGTTTATGCATTTTGAGGTCTAGGTGGGTCACTGGGGAATTGATTGGTGAAGCCTGCCAGCGTCGACCTGAGTAGGTGACCTGAAGCGTCTCAGGGCTTGCAGAACCTCACGAGTCAAGTAGGGCACCTGACCAGGGACGTACTTACCTGTGCTTTTCAAGCTAGTCTGAACGCTTTGGTCAAGAGGGAAGTGCTGCCTATATTCTCACAGTTGCTTTTTCCAGCAGAACTCGTATCAGGCTCCACTTGTATCCGTTCAATGAAACCAGGGAGCGGCAGTGGAGTGGTCATATAGATGGGAAACGACCCACACCTGGGCCTTAAACATGGGCATCCGCAAGGTGCTGCTAGCTTTCGAACGGAAGGTGCTGCTGGCTTTCGAATCAAGCTTTGCTGGCCAATTGCTGGCAGGTTGTAAGGTTTGTTGTTTGCCACTTGGGAGGGACAATGGTTTCAGATCTACTCTCCCAACTATGGTTACGTGGATGGCACACCCTGTTGAATCGGAAGTGGTCTTCCAAGGGTCCAAGGCCGCCCACCGCCCAGGTTGGGACGCTGAAGCACCGGAGCGTCCGACACAGAGCGAGGGATTGGATCGGTTTGGGGGGGGGTTGGGAAGCCGATTGAAGGGAAACAAACGGATGGAAGATCCAAAACCAACGTTCGGCTTCTGTTTTATAGATCTAAAGTTGTAATATGTTGTAATAATCTTCTTCGAACTATTTGTTTTATACACCAAAAACTTGTTTTTGACGATCCATGTCTATAAAAGTATCATTGGTTTTGAGAGTAATAAAGGTTTGAGGTTCATGTCCCCCCAATGGAGGGACACCCCCGTTCCGTGAACGCGAAAGCGTTTGAATCAGTTTCTTGATGCGCTGTGTGACTAGGCATTCCGTCCTGATGAGAGAATCTCAGACCGGTAAATTTGGCTAAGATGTTGAGATTGTTGTTTCCTTATGAATCCCCAAACCTGGTGGTAACACTCCGAAACCCCTGAGCTCTCGATCCCCAAAGGCCTGAGGTGGGGTGGACTTCCTGGTCGAAGCCTTCTCTGAACCCTTCCAAGGTAGGTCGGGAGCCTGCCAGAGCTCCAGGTAGGTCGGTCTCCCTAAACGTAGCAGCCGACACACCGCCCGTACCGTACCTTCTTGTGGATGGGATGGCGTGGAGGCCCGGACCTCTATTTGGAGTATGAGGAGGGCACCGACTGGCCATGCACTGAGTGAAGATGTGGGGAAGAAATCCGGATGAAGGAAAAACGTCCAGAAGACCATCCTACAAGAATCAAGACATGTTTTGGTCCAAAATAGATCCCGTTGTTGGGGATCATGGGAACTTGAATTTGGCAGGTGGTCTTTTTCTTACCAACATTGATTGGACATTAAGACATGTGTCCTGGAAAAGAATATGCACCTCACTCAGAAGATCTCATGCATCTCGCCTGCTTCACCGTGACAAGACGTTGTTGGATTGTACCCGGACAAAACGGACGCGTGACAGAAAGGACTATAGTCCCTAGGGCTCCTGTCCCATATCCTCAGGTTCGGTGGTTAGACCTCCCTGGCACCCACCCGAACCTCAGGAGGGGGCGGCCAGGAGCCCTGGGCAGGGAGTTTAGAGCAAATGGACGAGTTGTTGGGTGCCTTGAAGACCCGGGGTCGAAATGTCCATTGTTTCGGTTCGGTGAAGCACAGGCACGCAAAGACAGGCACAGGCTGAATGAACAGAACCATGACCGCAAGGGTGACTGCAGCAGTTCGGAAAGGGCTTTTTGGTACGCAATGACAGTTCATCAGCTTTAGTCGGATGTCTACTCCAACCATCGAAACGGAGGTAGGACAGGAGCCCATGCCGAGATCCATATACCTCGACCCTGAGGTTCATCGGCTGCCAAAGCTTTGTGCGGGACACCAGCAGTTGCGATCCTCAGAGGCGCCCAAGACGGCCGAAGAACTCCCGACGCGGTGCTCGGTGGTTTTGGTGGGGGGAAGAGGAGAGATTGCCCCAAAGGGATGCCCAAAGGGTGGGGCTGGTTGGAAGGGTTGTTTTTTTGCTTTTGTCAAGTGATCATATCCTAAAAGAACCTGGACCTTCAACCATTTTTTATGATTTTGTCTATTGGGATTTCTCAATTTTCAATTTGTCTTATTCGGCCGGTTTGGTTGAATCCAAACAATATGCTTGAAGCTTCTGGAAGGCTTGTCTCTTTGGATGAATTGAGTTGTCTCTTCAGGCCCGAAAGTAACATCGATGTCGAAACCAGTTCTGAGATATGTCCCAAACACTCCATAGGACAGCCAATGACTGCCATATTTGATGCCTACATTGACCCCCCTGGCACCTCCCCAATGTAATCAAAAATGGCAGTCCCATGTGCCGTGTTTGGGTGTGATGGTCCTGTCGGCAAACTATACCCTGCCATACATGTGGCACTTGGTACAAAGATGCGTGAAGGGGAAGTGGAGAGCTTCTGGTCGAAGTCAGGAGCGTTTTGGGTTCTTCTGGTCGAATTCAGGAGCGCCGCGGAGCCACCAAGCTCCAGTGCTACTCCTTTCCTGGCAGAATTGGGCACACCACACCTCAAATCGCTTTGCCGCGACTAAGATGGAAAGCACATCCCAAGCAAACGTCTCGCCTTTGGGGGGTCCGCGAAAGACGACGACGCAGGTTTGTCAACGCACCTTTGTGACGGCACTGCGCTATATATTTGACCTGTTGTGACTCTTTGTGGTAAAGTGATCGCATGACATGGTTGGTTTCCTCTGTCAGGCACTCTTGCTTATACCACGAAAGGAGAGACCGATTTCACGACACCAGGGAAAGGACAAAGCTGCTTGAGCTCCTTCGCACTTCTTCCAGGGTTCAACCCCCACGCTTCACCTCATGACCGGGTCAAGCACGGTTCACGTGGTTTTCCTTCATCTCGACTAGAAGCAACACAGCGACGTGTCCGTCGCTGTGGGTTAAAACCTTCGCCCGTTTCACCCTGGTATAGGTTGACCTCTCCCAAGTCCAGTTATTCATGTCTTTTCGCTTCATGTTCTGTGGTCAACCAGGCTATTCCCTTGGCTCCCGGTCCGAAGTCATCGGTGCCCTCCCGCCCCCCTCGCGTTACCTCCGGGCCGAACGGTGCGAAGCGACGCGGAAGCGACCGCGGTTCCGCGACGCAGTCTGGAGTCGGACCGCGACTACGACGTGAAGGTGCGCGAGCGATGCCCGGGAGCTCGGGGGGAATGGAGTCGACCGATCGGGGACGTGGTGGTCGTGGAGGGAAGTAGAGATGAGTAGAGTGAAGGGAATAGAGTCAGGAGCGTACTGCCGATGGTGAAGGATCAAATTGTGTGCTGATTTGTGTTTTTTTCACGCCGCGAAACAAAAACACTTTTATGTGTTTTTTTCGTAGTGTGACTCCTTAAGGGCTGCTTGAGAAAAAACAGAAGTCATCGAAATCATGGAGCGTCAAGACAGGTTCTGGCTTCA